GTAACAGTCTTTTTTCATGAGCTAGAACATTCTGAAAAAGAAAAACATTTTGATACGAAAAGCGTAAAGTTCTGTATCTTTGCCTCTTCTGCGGGTGGTGGAATACAAGGACGTTTGTAGGAGCAGAGGACAAAAGTTCACATTTACAAGAGTTTACCAGAGTTCACATACACACACCAACTTTGAAAGTCTGCAGAATGAGCATGGATTAAATAATATTTAAACAATACATGTTAGTTTATTAATTTTTTCACAAGTGTCAAGTTTCCACAGTCACTGGGGTGTCATGTCATCTGCTGGTGTTGGTCCACTGTGTTTTATCAAGGGCAGGGTCAATGCAGCTAGCTATCAGGAGATTTTGGAGCACTTCATGCTTCCATCTGCTGAAAAGCTTTATGGAGATGAAGATTTCATTTTTCAGCACGACCTGGCACCTGCTCACAGTGCCAAAACCACTGGTAAATGGTTTACTGACCATGGTATTACTGTGCTCAATTGGCCTGCCAACTCTCCTGACCTGAACCCCATAGAGAACCCGTGGGATATTGTGAAGAGAAAGTTGAGACACAAGACCCAACACTCTGGATGAGCTTAAGGCCGCTATCGAAGCATCCTGGGCCTCCATAACACCTCAGCAGTGCCACAGGCTGATTGCCTCCATGCCACGCCACACTGAAGCAGTCATTCATGCAAAAGATTCCCGACCAAGTATTGAGTGCATAACTGAACATGATTATCTGAAGGTTGGTGTTTTTTTGTATTAAAAACATTTGTCTTTCATTGGTGGGATGAAATATGCTAATTTTTTGGGACAGACATTTTGGGTTTTCATGAGCTGTATGCCATAATCATCAGTATTAAAACAATTAAAGATATGAAATATTTCAGTTGGTGTGCAATGAATCTGAAATATATGAAAGTTTAATTTTTATCATTACATTATGGAAAATAATGACCTTTATCACAATATGCTAATTTTTTGAGAAGGACCTGTATTTAAGCTGCTGCCAGACACCTCTTCAGCACTGGGACATAAACTGCCAAATGGTAACTTGTGTACAGCCAAGTGACATGTTATTGCAGCTGGTTCTCACCACCTGTGATTTCTTCAGGGCCTTCCACGTCCTGCTCCTCCAAGTCGTTCCTAGGACCTCATCTCTCTACTGGGGCTCACTTGTGGATCAACAAAGTCCCTTCAATTTCCATCTTCAAACAACTCAGAACTGGGTGAACCTGCTCCTCTCTCCACTGCCACTCACATCAACTTGGATCTCCTGGAAAATCTAGGACCTCTCCTCTCCTTCTCGGTCTGCACCTGCAAAACAAACTGTAAGGAGTTATTTTCTATTACAAAGAGTCAACATTCTCAAACCTCAGCATCAGAACCCATATTTGCCTTGTCCTTTCCTCCCTTGCAGCTGTGATGCCATTAATCCACCTGTAAATAAAGATCACTTTTTTGTATTCCCGTCCGTCTTTACTGAATTAGTCTGTGTACTTGGGGGTCGACGTTGATACAAACCTGATACAAGTCTTGTGAAATATACGGCATACACAGAAAGCCCATTATCAGGGAGGATTTACTTGCAGTTACCTTGTAACCTTGTGGACTGGGAGCAGTGGTAGTGGTGCTCTGTTTTAATGTTAAACAGTTCTAAAAAATAAACAGGGAGCACCTGCCTTGCAGCCCACACATCAGACTGGCCCACCAGGAAATGTCCCAGTCCTCCCAAGTAGACACTCAGGGCCTTGTTGCAAACTAAGGTACTGAAAGAAATGTGAGGAGGACATAGAGAAGGACCAAGTCCAAAAGCTCATTGTTGGCAAGGCACCTGGGGTGCACAAGATTCACCCTGAAATGCTGATGGCTCTTAATGTTGTGGAGCTGTCATGGTTGACGTGTCTTTGTCACATAAGGGACTGGGAACAAGGCTTCTGGAGTGGCAGTGCAGAGTGGTTCAATTGTTTTAAAAGGGGGACTAACCTGGGATCATGTCTCTGACTCAATTGGTCAGAGCCAATCAGGTACGATCTGACAAATTCTTGAACCTCAGGTTCATGATAAGCAGAGTGGTTTGTGGAAATGTGGACCAGATCTTCACCATTGCAGAATTGCTAAAGCATACATGAGTTTTTTTTTTTCTCTCCAGTGTATTTTGTGGGCAAGGAATCGTGGCACAAAGTCAAGTTTGTTCTCAGTGAGAGTTGGACTCCGCTATGGCTGTCCATCATCTGCGATAATGGTTTGTGGTAATTGTGGACAAGATCTCAAGGCACAGTCACCAAGAGGTGGGTGTCTGTTTTCCTGGTTGTCTGGTTGCATATTTTGTGACAACAGGCCAAGACCTTTAGTGCAGACTGGGGTGGTTTGCAGCATAGTGTGAAGCAGCGGGGATTATAGTCAGATCCTTTCTGTCCAAGATTCTTAACTGGAAATGGGAGGAATCCACCTTCTGGGTTTGGCTGATCCTTTTTAAAAAGGTGAAAGTTTAAGTATGTGCACAAGTGGTGAGATTAGTTTTAAAAGGCAAAAAACCCAATTTACTGGTCATTTTGTAGCTATGATGAATGAGATCCTAGACCCAAGCTAGTGATGGTTCCTCCTGTGCTGCAGCATCGGAGCCTGTGTTGAGAAATCCTGGAAGTTTGTCATTAAAGACAAGTGATGACACTGATTACATCTGAAGACTCGCTAGTTCAAGACAGGATTAGTTTTTGCACACTTCATTAGCTTATATAAATTAAATGGCTCCCCACAAAACCTGTATGCAGGAAGTTTCACCACTATGACAGAGGAGCTTCTTGTCATGGAGTCTGCAAAAAGAAGAAAGGCTTCACCCGTGTTCCACACTTTAGGATTTCTCACAATAATATTACCGATGGGGGAGGGAATATATATATATATATATATATATATATATATATGTGTGTGTGTGTGCGCGTGCCTTTTAAGAGGACTAAAATAATGTGTTTCAATTATATTTTCTTTCTTGTGATTTCTTTGTGCATGTAAAATTGCAGTTGTAAAGTGCATTGCAAGAATAATTACTTGTGTTTTATCATTACTGTTTTTTCTATTCCACGGTGAGGTACTTGTTTTCCAAGTAAATGGTGTCAGATTTGTCAAGCAACCATGATAAATGGACTGTACTTATATAGCACCTTTCAATCTTATTTCAAGATACTCAAAGCACTTTACACTACAATCTGTGTCTCATTTACCCATTCATACAGCACTCTACTAGATCTCTACAAAGCTAACTGAACAAATCATTCTAAAGAGACTAATCAGTGCTTTAGATCACATTCATACACTGATGGAACACACATCAGAGGCTATGAGGGGTTCAGTGTCTTGCCCAGGGACACTTCGACATGTGACTGCTGGTGGATTCGAAACCCCAACTCTCGCATTGGAGGACGACTGCTCTAACCACTCAGCCACAGCTGCCCCAGGACAATAATTTATTAAACTCGAACATATCCCAAGAAATAAACTGGAATCGTTGCACATGTTGAGTGCGTTCTGAATCTTTTAATCACAGTATTCAATTAATTCAATTTATTCAATTTAAAAGTATTCAATTCATTTTCTGTTTAATTTACATACTACCAAGTCACAACAGTAGTCACAGGGCACTGTCCAGAAAGATTCATATAAAGTTATTTATGCGAGGACCAGACTGCTTTGAGTCTTAACTTTGTCGCAGACTCATCCTGAGCAAGCATAAAAACAGTGGAAAGGAAAAACTCCCTCACGAGGCAGAAACTTTCAGTAGAATCAAGCTCAGGACAAGCGGTCATCTGCTTCGACCGGCTCAGTTTGAGAGAAAAGGATTCCTAGGGTCTGCTCATAATGTAATGTCAGTGAGCAGAAAGGAGGACCTGGATGAGGCATTGGCATCCAAGATTGTTAGAGACCAACAGCCAGCTTAATGAAAGTCAAGGGCTTTGATGCTACATTAAACCAAACTCATGTTCTACCCACCAGAAAGAGTGTGGTGCTGTGCTAAAAATGTTTTGTTTAACTTTAGATTAAGGCCAAGGAAGTGGCCAACTAAAAAAAAGTCAAAGCAGAGGTTCAGAAAGTTACTGCAATGACTTGTGGGTAATTCAAAGAGAGTTGAAGCTCAGTGTTAAGTCACCATGACCCCAGTTTAAGTAAATACACTGACTCACCACTGCAACATTTACATGACTGAAAATAGTGTATAAAACTTTCATTACCTTTAACTAGACCTTAATATTTTCAAGGTTCGGCATTGTTCAGTCAGGTCCACTGGACTTTTTGCCAAGACGTTCTTTAAACCGAAGAACCTCTTAAAACATGAGTTCCAAACGGCACACTCAAGTGTATAAACAATTTACTTGTCATAAAATGGTCTCCAGGGCCCACCCTCAACTCCTGAGGCAGCCGAAGTGGTTCAAAAAACTATAATCCAGATAATCCATTGCTCAGGCTGCCTTGGAGAGGGCATGCCCTTGAGGTTTCTACCCAACTTGTACCCATGTGAGTAGAGGGTGGACATTAGTGGGACCTCCAATGTCCTTTAAAAGTACAATGTGCCAAAAAAAAAAAAAAATAAACACACCCCAAGCGGTTAGTGTGGACAAGAACCTCAAACAATTAGGAACAATAAGTTATTGCTTCAGATCGACATTAACCTTAGCTGAAATAAAATTCTAGACCAGGTAATGCAGCAGGAAAGGAATGTTCATTTTTACATCAGTAAGATCAGGTGGTTCAGAGATGAGTTTGAGTGGCGACAGGTTAAGGTGGGCCTGTGATCGTAGAGCTTTGTTGAAAATGCCATTAGGCCCCCACCATTCTAGTTTGCTAGTACCCCGAGCTACGAACAATGCAACTGTGGCCATAACAGAAGTGTATGGGGAAATTAAGTTAACGCAGTACTAGAATGAAAATGGTTTTATTTAATAACCAGTCACGTTGTGGGCTTCGTCGCCTGCAGTCACGTTGTGGGCTTCGTCG